TGCTACTCAATTTTGCTACTGTTATGAATCATAATGTAAATGTCTGATATACAGAATATCTGTTGTGTGGCCCCAATGAGGTTGTGATTCACAGCTTGAGAACCACTGTGCTAGAGGAAAAGACTCAATGTTCTCCATAAGAAAACTGCCCAGAAAGCAGACAATGCTGTGAGCATCATTTTCTGAAATGGGATTTCCATGAGATGGTGAAGAACAAGAGAATGTGACCCACTTTCTAGATGTATGGTAGTCCTGAAAAAGCAAGCAAGCCAGCCTTCTTGTCTGTATGTTAATGGTTCACAATAATAACACCCATAACAGAAGCATCAACAGCTAGTGATTTGTTTCATTACAGGAGACTGAAGAGCATTTTGAGATTTTCAAAACACTTTGATATACATCATTGTCTTTGCCCCTAGGCCTTTATCTCAGGAAAGATGATGAATGATTAAAATGAGGGAAAGAAACAAAATGATGAATTAAAAATGAATGAAGCATTTTAAGAGGAGAGCATGAAGACAGGGAAAATTAAACTGATTTTACTAGTGCTAAGGAGGCCCCCGACCCTAACATCAAGGTGACGTTAGGGAAGTTCTTATGGACAAAGTTTAATTTCTTAAGCTCTAGACTATTCATCTTGCCTGCTATTCATCCTCCCCCAAACACATCATACTCACTCCCTTATCCATCTTCAGCATTTGCCATCTCAAAATTTGGTTCTCCCTCTCATATCTCAGTCACGTATTCCACAAGCCCTAGACATCACCTTAGACCCTCTTCACCTATCCCCACAATTACACATTCCTGTGAATTTTTCTATGGTATAACTAGCACAGTGTGTGCTCTGAACTCCTTCCTGTTGGTCCTGGACACTCTATAGCCAAACTCTTAATGTCTCCTTCCTCAATTGTCAGACTCGGCTTATCTGGTCATACCTAGTAGAACAAGAATACACCCCACCTGCCCTCACTGACTTGGCTGCTCTGGTATCTTTTGGGGGCTTAGCTGTTCTTATAACTTAACCACTGCCAAGCGTCTTCCCCTGCCTGTCCTGTCTTTTCAAAGACAGCCTCTTCCCCCACTGCCTAGAACAGAGTTTGGCTCATAGAATAGAATGAGTGAGTGTTTGATAGAAAGGACAAATGCAGCCATTCATTTTTAACTGGTCTCCATAGTTACTACCCAACCCCATACTCGAGAGAACACCCCCAACCCAGGACTGGAAACTTCCTTCAAAGCAGTGGTGAGGTGCCCCTTTGTGCCAGGAAACTTAGCTCTAAGCACTTATGTGCTGTGTAGCCTGTGATAATTGTCTGAGTGTCAGTCTACCTCTCAGAGCTCAAGTCACACAGTCAGTGGGTCTAATGACAAGGGCAAGCCAATGAGCCGGAGACGCTTCTGCTGTACGGATGTGCAGCTGTAGGAGTCAGGACCTCTGGTTGCTAGGCCTTACTCTTATACTTTCTGGTTCATTGGGTCAGAAGAGACTAGGCCTGGCTTCACATGAAACTTAATTCTTTTGGGCTGTTGTGACACAATACCATATACTGGATTATTTATACATAATGGAAATGTACTTTTTATAGTCCTGGTAAAAGCTGGATTCCAGGCCATAGACCCATCTCCACACTATGCCCTCACATGTGAGTAAGCATGAGAAACTCTGGGAGCTCTTTCATAATGGTGTAAATCTACCCATGATGTAGTTACACCAAAGGCTCCATCTCCTTTATCATCATATGGAGACCCATGTTTCAATGGAAGAGTCAGGGTAAACAAAACTGCCCAATCTCTAAAAATACTGATGTCTCTGGTCCAGGAATCCCACACTGAGAAATGCTGTTCTAGTTGTGCCTAAGGACACTGCTTGCTGATCCTGTCTTACTCAAAAAAGCATGTTATTTCAACATCAAAACTTCATGTTTATATCTTACCCCTTTTCTATTTCTCTTAAATCTCTATCTAGTCTGCAAATTCCTCTGGGCAGAAATTATACTTTCCACAGTCTGCACTCTCTCATTTTCTGTTTTGCAAAATAATGAGTACATTTCCAGTGTGATTAATAATAGAATAGGAAAAGAGGGAAAATTCCAAATACCAGTGGTAATAAAGAGCATCTACAAATGGATACTAGCCCTAGATTCTCTTAAAAATTAATTATGAAGCAAAGAACATTCTACTATCAGTGGCAATGGAAAAAAGATTATTTTCTTTATGACACATTTTGCAGAATGTAGGTTATTTGAGATTTAAGTCTAACTTACTTAAACACCAACATTTCTGGAAATATAATACCACAAACAACATTTCAACTCATAATTTTTACAGTGATAGTCAGACCATTGTGCCTGTGACATGTAAAAGCCATTATAGAGTTGTGGCAACTGTCTGCAATAGGTTATAAATTTTTATTGAGATGATCTTCTCACGACTGAATTTCTAAGTGTATTATATGATCAGGAGCAAAAAAGTCCATGGGGCTTTGAAAGTGCTCCGAATATCATTTCCAAAGATCAAAGCCCCTCAAAGCCCTTACATTTACGTTATGGAAAAAGAGCAGCCTTATCAACAGGTTCAAATCAATTATTTTTATGAATGACTATTACATTGCAGAGCTGAGGTAAGGAATTACCTGGCTTAATAACATATCCTTCTGTCCTTTGAAAGCAGTCAGCTTCATAATCAGGTTTCAATGAGAAATTTTACGAAAGACCTGTTTAGAAAAATCATTGGGAAAATGGACTCTCTGTTCATCATAGTGGTTCAATAATTTTCAAAGGAGTAAGCCTGAGCCATAGAAATATTAGTGATCCTTGGCTTCTGCACTATCAGAAGCATTTCTGAGACACTTAAGAGTAGCTGCTGTCAGTTCTGCTCTAACACTCAAAGTGGTTCATGAACAACTAAAAATTCAAGTTTGTTCCAAAGCAATTGATCTATGAGGGAGTAATGTAAGCACAGAGCAAATGCTACATCAGCTTATATGCGATGTGTCCACAGAAGACAAAAGTAAAGTAAAAACTCCAAGCCACACAGAAATACACACACACACACACACACACACACACACACACACACACACCTCTAGCACCTGACTGGTCTCTCAGTTCACCACTCTTATAAGACACACCCATTTCCACCTTGTGGTTCCTTTCTACCTATTTCAGATGGCTTCTTCCTGCCTCCTAGCTTGTAACTCACAGGCTGCAAACCCCTCCCTTTACTTATAAAAGACAAAAACTGAGCTTTCCGGGAGGTGTCTTCTGGATGCATTATAGCATTTTGCACTTCCTAATCCACTTGATGTCTAAAATTTTGCTCCCTTGCTCATTAAATAGTTCTCCTTTTTTCATGTGTTACTAAGGAAGGGAGGAGTGCTCTACCCCTACTATTCCTCCTATGTTCTTTACAGCATAATTCACCAAGGGGCAACAATTTCAGGGCCAATGCTCTCAAATTGTAACAGCCCTGATGTAGGATAATGCTCTTGTACATTGTAAAGATTTGCCACTCATATTGTTTAGTAAAATTCTGATTGACCAGTAGCCAGGTAGGAAGTATAGGCAATGCTACTAGACCAGGAGAATTCTGGGAAGAGGAAGGCAGAGAGTGAGTCACCAGCCAGAGGAAGCAAAATGAGAATGTCTTACTGAGAAAAGATACCAAGGCATGTGACTAAACATAGATAAGAATTATGGGTAATATAAGTTGTAAGAGCTAGATAGAGCCATAAGCCAAATATTTTATAATTAATATAAGCCTTCATGGTTTTATTGGGACTAAATGGCTGTGGGACCGGGCAGGACAGAAACTTCCATCCACACAGGTCTGATGCAACATCCTCTACTGTGTCCCATGTTGGTGCACTCATGGATTCTTCACTACTACCTTAGAAGCATTTCTGCCTCATTTTCCCTCAGAAGTCCTTACTGGATGCTTCATGAAGCCTGGCACCACAGCAGTATGTAGCCCTGAGCTCAGCATGTGATACCAGGGCCGCATACCTCTCTATTCATCATGGTGCAATCAAAGATCCAGAGCTCTGCAGCCAGAAAACCCGAGTGCAAATCCGACTGTACCAGTGGTCAATTCAATGAACATGGATAAAGTTAGAAAATACTGAGCCACTCTCCCTTCGTGTATACACAGAACAAAAAGCACTTACAGGGAATGGTATTTGAAAGTGATTAGATAACGTGAGGTTTAGAAAAATGATCACCAATCTCTTTTAATTTCATGGGTTCCATTCAGAGATCTATTCTTAGCCAACAGGCAAAGCAAAGAGGCCTCAGGGATATAGTCATATCCAGAGAACCGTCTCAATCACATGCATGCCAGTGGTGCTTAAGCAGGAACATCAGGGAAACAGTTGGAGCCAGAAATCCATAGTTAAAGTAGATCCCAGAGACCCCCAGAAGGACTTCCCCAAGTCACACTCTTTAGCCCCCAGAGGATATAGAGTGCGGGTGTTTTGAGGGACCAAGGCAGTTTCAGAATCATTTCTGAGACTCTGGCAAAGTCAGGAAGCTATAAAGATGTAACTGCTACAAGAGTCTCCTCAGAGACAAAGCTAGAACCAGGAAGCATCAGGGCAATGACCAGATTCAGGGATCACAGGTCAAAAAAACTATACATATTAGATATATATAACTGGAAACAGAAACCTGAAGGGATGTAGTTGACATGGAGACTTTAAGAGTACAATCAGAGGTTAGATCCCTTGGAGACACAGAACCAAAACCCCCAGAGACATGCAAATGGCACCAGGATTCCTCACAATGATGGATCCAATGTCCCACCAGAAATACTATCAACACCATGAGTGTCTCCATTACATAACCAAAGATAGAAGATTCTAGAATCAAATCCGAAGCTGACAGTATCTCTCATGTCTGAGCAAGCCCTTAATTTTTTTTTCCATCAAAGGAAGCACATTTGCACCAGAGAAACCTATACACAAGAGGCAAGAGGAGGGTCAGAATTTGGAGGGACATCCTTACCGGCACACTTGGTCCTGGTGGTAAGGGGAGGCCCTGGTGGTCCTGTGCCCCCCTCGCCTGGTCGTGTGAGCAGCACCCGGATCTCATACTCCACATCAGGGTCCAGATGCCAGAGCTTGTAGTTGGGGGAGTCCACGATGTGGGTCTCGGCCCAGGTACCTGTGGTAGTGCGGTATTCTACTTCCTTCAGAATGATGGGGCCATCTCCAATAATGGAGTTGGCATTTGGCTTAATCCACAGGTAGGTGGCCCCGACAGCCAGCAGTTCTGGAGGAGCGATGGGCGTGGGAGGCTCTGTAAGAAAGAAAGCAAGCAAGGGGATTTCAGTCTAAGTTGTTTACAAAATACAATCTGAGCATGTAAGGGAAAGTGGCCAGACTTCTCAGCAAAACCATAGAGAGGGCTGCCAAGATGGCTGGGCAGGTAAATGAACTTGCTGCCAACCATGACACCTTGGTGGAAGGAAAGGACCAAATCCCAAAAGTTGTCCCTGACCTCCATTTTATGTGGCATATCCATGTGCATCTCTCTCTCTCTCTCTCTCTCTCTCTCTCTCTCTCTCTCTCTCTCTCTCTCTCTCTCTCTCCCCCCCCATGCTACCATTGAGTATTACTTATGTGAATATGTGTTTAGGGATGACTGGTTGATTGCATAACCGGTCAGGGGCTGATTCCCCCCCCCCTTCAGCAGCCATTAGTTGCCTGTAGGTATTCCTCTAAGGAGTGGAGCCTTGTGAGACTTTTTATCATCCATGCTGGCAAATCATCTCATGTTGTCATTATGTGGGTATTGTTTAGGGAACCAAATTATTGCAATATCATGGGTGTAACTCTCATACATATAAGACACTCTCTCATATCAGATCCCCTCATTCTATAGCTCTTATAACCTTTCACCCTTTCCATGATTTACTTTGAGCCTTAGTTGTAGGGGTCACATTATAGATAGATGTGATAGAACACCCCATGGTCTACACTTTACCAAGTGTGGGTGTTCTGGTTAGTTTTATGTCAATTTGACACAAGCTAAAGTCATCATAAAGGGAGGATCCTCAATTAAGAAAATGTCCCCATAAAACTAGGCTGCAGGCAAGGTTTTAGGGCATTTCCTTTTCTTGTCTTCTTCTTCTTCTTCTTCTTCTTCTTCTTCTTCTTCTTCTTCTTCTTCTTCTTCTTCTTCTTCTTCTTCCTCTTCCTCTTCTTCCTCTTCTTCTTCTTCTTGCTTTTTATTAATTTGTTTACATTCCAATCTCAAGTCCTCCTCCCACTCTCCCCACCACCCCACCACCTCTCATCTGCTTCCTCCCCTAGGAAGTCTACTCAGTCTGTTCCATCATCTTGTTGAGGCAGGACCAAGGCACCTCTCCACTCCCACACCTCTGTGTCTAGGCTGAACAAGGTATCTCTCCAAATAGAGTGGGCTTTAGGGTGTTTTCTTAATGACTATTTGCTATGGGAAGGCCCAGTCCATTGTGGGCATTGTCAGTTCTGGGCTGGTGTTTCTGGGGTCTATATGAAAAGACCAAGCCAAGAGGACTAGCCAGTAAGCAGTAGTCCTCCATAACCTCTGCATTGGCTCCTGCCTCCAGTTTGAGTTCCTGTCCTGACTTCCTCCGCATAAGCTAGATAAACCCTTTCCTCCTGATATTGCTTTGGTAATGGTGTTTCATCATAACAATAGTAACCCTGACTAAGACAGTGAGTTTCCCTAATTATTGCCATCTACTGCAAAAGGAATTTTCTTTGACAGGGTATAGCAGCAAAACTTGTCTGTGGACAGAAAGACCCATATTTAGAATACAGTTGAGCACTATACTAATCTAGAAAAGTGGCTGTAGTAGGTCTTCCTTTGGAATCCTTGGAGTCACTAACCATGGGCAGCTGAATAGGTGTACAGTACCATCCATAAATTCCCTCCTATTAAGGAGCCTTAAGTCCAATTAGACAGCTGATGGATAATCACAAGACATCGCTGAAACTATTGTACCACTGGTAACATCTTGCCAGGCTGGTCATTGTAATGGTTAGTAGGTGGCTGGCTAAAACTACAAATTGCTTTTCTACTGTGGCAGCCTACACAGAACCTTTGGATGCTGTGAGAACTAGTCCTCAAGGAGGAGGCTCTCAGGCTGGTTCCACCTCATTTTACACAGACTGTCAGCAGAAATCCTCTGCAGATGGTGGGATGAACACAGATAGGAAAAGGATGATACAGCAAGAGTTCAGCTTCTCCTGCACACTGACAGGCTCCTGCCAGCAGTGAGTGTCCTTGACTAACAGGAGTATAGCAGGAATCAAGGGCCAAAGGACAGGTCATACCAACTTCTTTAATAACTGATCTATGTGGCACCTTCCTTAGGCAATATATATTGAACCAAATAGATATAACCAAACTCACAGAGCAATGAAAATGGGATGAATCCCATAACCCCATGGAAGGGTCTCTTTATATAGGTCAGGTTGGCCTCAGACTCGCTATGTATCCCAGACTGGCCTCAAATACCAGGTTCTCTTGCCTTGGCCTTCCAAATTCAGGGATTGCAGGTAATGCATAAGTATGCTTTACCATCTGGTCATTTATTTTAAGATGTTTTTCAGGCTTTATTTTATTTTCTGAAAAATATTTTATTTGGAGCTGGAGAGAGAGCTCAGTGGATAAGAGCCTTTGTTTGCTTTTGAAGAAGACCTGAGTGCAAATCCTAGCATGCACAAGGTGACTCATAACCATCTGTAACTCCAGTTCCAGGGTATCTTATGCCTTACTCTAGCATCTATGGATGGCAGACATACAAATGGTACACAGACACACAATCAGGTTAAACATCCATACACATAAAATAAAATAAAGTAAATCTTTAAAACATAAACCCTTTATTTAATATTCTTACATGCATATTATTTTCACAAGACTCCCACAAGATGAACCAAAGTCCCAGCATGGATGTGGAGGAGCTTGTGAAATACCACCCCTGTCTGAGAAGATACAGTATCTACTGGAAAGGGAGAGTCACTTTTGTCAGAGATGTGGATTGTAAGATGCAATCAATGATCCAAAGAATTTTTTTATTTTTGGTTGTGCATAAGTGTGTGAGTATTTACATGTGAGTCTATGTATCTGCAGAGACAAAAGAGAACATCCACTCTCTCAGGCTTGGAGTTACAGGTAGTTGTGAGCTGCTTGATATGGGTGTTGGGAACTCAACACTGTGTAGTGGCATCAGAAAAGGAAGTACTCTTAACCACTGAAATCTCCCAAGCATCCCCCACCCACATTTTGATTTTGTTTGTTTTTAAACAAATTTGGTATGTTCATTATTTTTATTTGTGACAAACACAGAAGTAGAACAACAACCACAAAAGGTAAGAAAGAGAAAGTGTGTCCTCTCCTATCTTACATCTTTCCTTTCAATGACACATAGACCAGATGCAGGTGGGTTTTACTTCCCTCACTTTAAGACTCCTAATAGTTCCAGTTATATGCTAGGGGGAAGGGGGTTTTACTGTCTTTTCTAGGTACTGACTAACTACCTAGTTATGTTTCCACTGTTGGCATACGGGTTGTTCTAAGTTCAGTTATGGTAAATAATTCTGTAACAGACATCTCTGTGCAAATGATCTCAGGCCTCCTTGTCTGATTCCTGTAGAGTTTTATGACCAAAGGCCAGGAGTGGGGTTATCTGGCAAGGGGAGTGAACAAGTCCTTGAGCTCTATAGCAGAATGTAGAGGTGATGGGGTGAGAAGTCAAATGCCCATTTATTTAAGAACTCCCTACTGGAGAGTCTCTGAGCAAAGTAGGGAGTGAGTTTAGTTTGGAACTCAGGTGGAGAATGCAGGATAGAGACTCATCCTGTTTTTCCTTTTAATTAAATGCCTAGCATTAAAGATTCTCCAGAAGCAGAATAATTTGCTATCAACCAGGGGTGGACGATATCCTCCCAGTGTGCCTGGAAGCACATCTTGAGGGGCAACTTCAGATTGCCTCTATTACAGCTTGCCATTTGGTCAGAGCAGGGAATTAAGCAGATTAGTCAAGCTAGGTGCTTTCCTTTACAAAGCCATGGAGGTTATTACTCAAGACCTTGTTATCTCAAAGGTGTTTGCAAATTGATTTTGGGATAATTTGTTCCAGGTAGAGAAGTTAAGTTGGCAGGCAGATAATTTCTGGACTCATCCTTTGTGCATTTTAAATATATAGAGCCTCAGACGGCCATTATCAACTCTCAGGAGCTCCCATCAGTCTCCAATGAGGCCTCAAGGGTGATATTTTGTAACTCCATGATGACTCTGCCTAATTCCTTAACATAATTATTCACAGACCTGCTCTGGACAGGATGAAGAGCAACCCACCCCAATTCTGTGGGGGCTGAGCAGTGGCTGCATTCAGCTCTCCCATTGACTTTCTACCATGGTTTACTGCTCTCCTATTTCAGGCATTAGCAGTTTTCAATTTCTGACCACCAGAAAGAAAACATGGTATTAATCTTTCCAAACATTTACTCTCTTTTCGTGTATTTCTAATGGTAGGTACAACTACAATAACAAACATCTTGAGAGTATAAATGTCCCCATCTCAAGTGGCTTGCAGGTTCACAAGTTCATGTGCGGTCTAGGCATTGTGGCTCTCACTCACTCTCTCTCGCCCCCTCCCTGCCTGTCTGACTGACTGTCTGTCTTCTCAGAATAGATCACATAAGTTCACCATAGTGTTTCCTGTTTTTTAAGTATCCTGAAGGCATCAGATTATTGCTTTTAGCTTTTACATTTTGGTTTTTCTCTTTTCAGTGACATGCTGGTTTAAAACTGGTGTTATTTAGAAGGTATATAGACCAGTGTTAAAAGAAAAAGAAAGCCGGGCGGTGGTGGCGCATGCCTTTAATCCCAGCACTCGGGAGGCAGAGGCAGGCGGATCTCTGTGAGTTCGAGGCTGGGCTGGACCGATAGCCTCCAAAACAATACAGAGAAACCCTGTCTCGTAAAAACAAAAAAAAAAAAAAAAAAAAAAAAAAAGAAAAGAAAAAGAAAGCAGTGAGGAGAGACAGGACTAGAGATGCAGCTTGGTTGTTATGTGTTAATCTAGCCCTGTCTCGTAAAAACAAAAAAAAAAAAAAAGAAAAGAAAAAGAAAGCAGTGAGGAGAGTCAGGACTAGAGATGCAGCTTGGTTGTTATGTGTTAATCTAGCCCAGAGCCCAGAGTTCAATCCACAGCACTATATACACTGGATGTAGTAGCCCACACCTATAAGCCCAGGACTCAAGAAGTAGAGGCAGGAGGGTCAGAAGTTTAAGATAATCTT